CTTTACGCACACCAAGCTATCTTGGTAGTGTGGGACTCCATCTAGTGTCAATAATACCCACTAAAACCGGGAGAAGGGAAGAGAGGAGGGAGGAGGGAGTTAAGGTGAGGGGGTGTGGATCTTGCTGGCTAGGCGGGAGAGGGCAGGCTGGTCGATGGGGAGGAGAGGAGTGATGGTGGAGAACCGTCGTGATCTCGAGAGCTTCCAGATGTGGTGAATGTAGCGGATTTGGAGGAGGATGGAGGGAAGGGTGGCTTTGGAGGGGGAAGGTGGGCAGATGAGTTGTTGGAGGGTGGGGTGGGGCTGAGTTCCTCCTGTTGCTAGTTTCCAAACTTCAATAGATACTTTGCATTCTATGAAGATATGGATGATGGACTCAGCTTTGGTGGTTAGGCAGACCCTGCAGTGAAGAGTGCCGTTGTTGGGGAAGGAGGCTGTGCTGGAGGCTGTGCTGGGGGTGGGGGTGGGTTTGGCCGCTACCTGGGTTCCTGGGTGGAGGGATCGGAGGGATAGAAGGTGGGCTGTGTTGGTCTCGTCTGGAAGGAGGTGTCGTGGCTTTTTGAGGAAGATCCAGTACGCTTTCCAGTGTTGAGCCTGGAGGGAAGGAGAGGGAGGCCAGGGGGGATAAATTATGGAAAAGGAGGCTTCAGTGAGGGAAGCGGTGGACTTGGCAAAGGAAGTGACACTTAGCTGGTTACCACTCCATGATTCACGGAACCATTTGTAGGGAATAGTGAGAGTGTGGCGGTTGGAGAGTTGGGGGTTGAGGACAGAGGTGGACCACTCAATTCTGGAGGAGGAGAGGGAAGGAGAGAGCGTGACTGAGGCTTCCCATGCAAGGAGATATTGTTGCCATCGATCTGGTAAGTCGTTCTTGAGGGCTGTGTGGGTAGAGAGCCAGTGGTCGTCCTGAAATGCGGGAGAGCAGGGGAGGCAGAAAAGGGCCCACCAAGTCCACTCCCTCTTGGGCGCATTCCGCAACAACGGGTTGTCGGAATATAGTCGTTGCCGGAGTAGAGTGTCCTTGATAGGTATAGATCGTATTGCCCGGAGATGGCGGGTTTCCCACGACGAGGAGGGGAGGAGATCGAGAATCCACTGAGCCCTGGGGCCCTGTAGTTGTAGGGTCAAGTCAACCAGTCCAAAACCTCCCTTTTTAAGGGGAGTACATAACCTTTTTAGGGAGACAAGGCTCTTTCTGTTCTTCCCCCAGATGGTAGTCAGAGCGGCGGATTGGAGTTCCTGTAGGATGTGAGCAGGGGCTGGGGAGAACTTGTCCAGGTAGAGGATCTTGGTGAAGCAGTACTTGTTGATGATGGCGCATCTGGTGGAGAGAGGAAGGTCATACATCGGAATACATCTCATCCTTCTGATCACCTTGGCTGAGGCGTCTGTCCACTCCTTGAGGCGGTCCACTGAGCTCCCCATCTGAACCCCCAGGCACCTGAACTCTTGGAGGTGCACTTGCCAATTGCCATAGGACGTCCGAAGGAGCGGAGGGCGGCGAAATTCCCCAAGGGGGACTAGTAGGGACTTCGAGTAGTTGATCTTCGAGCTGCTGGCGCTGCAGAATGTGGTGATGGCGGATTGAAAGGCTTCCAGGTCCCTGTAGTCCCTGAGGAAGCAGTTGACATCATCAGCAAAGAGGAGTTCTCTGAGGAGGGGAAGGAAAGAGGAGGAAATCCCTGTGACTTCCTTTCGTATGAGAGAGGCTAGGCCTTCTATAGCGATAGCAAAGAGGGAGGGAGCTAGGGGATCCCCCTGCCTGACCCCAGAGAGGAGGGGGAGGGACTTGGATAGCCATCCATTGAGGTAGATCTTCGCATGTTGGTTAGTGAATGTACGAGAGAACCAGGACTCAGCTCTAGGGCCAAATCCGAAGGTCTGGAGCGATTTCCGGAGGTAGTAGTGGGAGATCTTGTCATAGGCCTTCTCCAGATCTATGGAGGCAAGGAGACCAGGATTAGCCTCTTCAGTGTCAAAGGCTGAGTGAATCTCCTCTATATTAGTCCCTATCCATCGTTCTGGGATGAAACCTGTTTGTTGGGCGCCAATGATGTGGTGTAGGATGGGAGAGAGGCGCCTGTTGTGGGCCTGTGAAAGGAGCCGCTGGTCAGTGTTGATGAGGGAAATAGGGCGCTTATTGGAGAGGAGAGAAGGGTCCCCCTTCTTGTGAGGAAGGTGGATATGTATCTCCTGTGGAGGTAGCTCGTCATCAGTGTAGTCAGGGAGGGAGTTGAGGATAGTGAGGAGGATGGGGCCTGTGATTTCCCACGTGGCTGTGTAGAACTCAAAGGGGAGCCCATCTGGGCCAGGTGAGCAGCGCCTCTGGCAGGCGGAGAGAGAGGAGGAGAGCTCCTCTAGGGTATATTCCTCCTCTAGGCTATCCTTGATGGCGGTTGGGAGCGTCCTGGTGTGAGTGGAGAGGGTGTGAAGGAGGGGACCCTCCTCTAGGGGAGGGGGAGAGTAAAGGGAGGAGAAAAATCTGTGGGCCTCGCCTAGCATGTCTTGAGTTGAAGTGGCTGTTCCTGTAGGTGTTGTGAGGGACGGAATGAGGTCAGCCTGGCGTACTTGCTTCAATCTGAGGGAGAGGGAGGAGTCTCCTGCTTCAGAGGGGGGGATCCTGGCCCTGATGGCCTTCCCTCTGAGAGACTTCTCCTGCTGTAGATCTGGACTAGTGTATCGTTCAAAAAGAGTGTGCTTCAGTGAGAGGGCCTGGATGCGAGGGAGAGGAGATGCTTGGTTGTAGTCCAGGCTGCCAAGGGGTCCTCTGGGTTGCTGGTGTAGGCTGTAGTGAAGAGATCCTTGACCAGGTTGGAGAGGTAGCTGGAAATGCCTTCTTTAGCAGAGGAGATCGACACTGAGCTTGAATTTTCCTGGCCCTGTATCGATGGCTCCTGGAAGAAGAGGGAAAGGAGGATGGGCTGGTGAGTTGACCCAGTAGCTCTAAGGAAAGAGTTCCTCTTGACCAGGGGAAGCAAGGTCTGGAGAGATGTAGAACCTGTCTAGTCGTCTGTCTGCTCCAGTTGGTGAATGGTTAGAGAACTATCCTAGAGATAGGGGTTAGTCACCCTGAAGGAGTCTGAGAGGAGTGGCGATTGAGGAGGTCCCTGAGCTGAGGCTTGGCCTCCGTTGGTGCCCTGGGGGTTAGTAGAGTCGAGCTGAGGGTGCTCTACACAGTTCCAGTCCCCTCCTAGGATGAGGGAGGCGCCATCTGGGAGGTGGGAGAGGGTGTCAGAAAGGTCAGAGAGGAAAGGCTTCCTTTCCGCTTCCAGGACCGGTATGTAGAGGGAGAAGAAGGTAATGTGTGAGGAACCTATAGTAAAAGTTGCGTCAGTAGAGCGTAAGGGATTTCGAAGTAGTGAGGAGAAGAAGTTGGGGGGTTTCCCAGCTGCTGAAAGGGAGACTGTTTGGGAGCCTGCTTTGTAGAGAATAGCGGTATGGTTAGATGGAGAGAAGATGGACTTCAGACCTAGGCTGTTGCAGTCGTCTTCCCACTGGGTGACCTCGGTAGGAGAGGGGCATCCAGTCTCTGAGAGGAGGAAGATGTCTGCAGAAGAGTGAGTGAATCTAGTGAGGGTTTGTAGGCGCTTACGGGCGTCCCTGATGTGTTGCACATTAGTGGCAACTATGGAAAGGTTAGGAAACTTATTCATGAGAGTCTAGCTCCATTCCTCCGGCTGTAAGGGGAGATTTGGCAGTGTGGTCTCCTGAGGCTGTGCTGGCTCCCTCCCCAGTCTCCTCACTCTCCTCCTGGGTGGGGATCAGGCGCACTGCTGGTCGGAGGGTGTCTGGGATGACGGGAGAAAAGTTGAAACTGGAGCTGTTAGCAGTTCCCGGGTCATTTCTCGACCTCTTGCGTCCTGAGGGCGAGGAAGGGATGGAGGGGAGAGGAGGTTGTGCTCCCTGGGAAGGGGTGTTGGTGGAGGAAGGGGAAGGGGAGGGAGAAGGGGGTAGAGGAGAGGAAGTGGAGCGAGAGGGACAGTACTGGGTAGAGTGGGAGTGCTGGTGGCACTTCTTGCAGGCAGGTGCCTGTGTGCAGGCCGGCCTCCTGTGTTCAGTGGACCTGCAGTAGTGGCAGAACGCCCTCTTCCCTATGACCTGGGCGGAGAGGTGCTCGGTCCACGCCCCCCTATCGAGTTTGATGGTTGCTGGAGGGTACACCGTCCTGTCTCCGAGGTCTAGGAGCATGTTGACGATGCCAGTGGGGATGGAGGTGTTGGAGTAGAAGGGTGACTCAACAGTGATAATATCGCCGTATTTCGCCATTTCCTGCTTCAGGACTTCGAGACCATCTCCTCCATGGAACAAAGAAGAGATTCTGAGGTGGACAAGGGCAGAATTAGCGGAGTTCGCGAGGGGAGAGAGCTTGGCAGTGGAGTTGAGAAGTTGGAGGCCGGCGGCCGTGATGGGGCTGGTATCCGTTCCTGGAGGGAACTGGATGATAATGTGACCTTCTTCAGTAGTAGGCCAGCCTTGGAGAGTAGGAAATTGTCCTTCAAGCGCTTGTGCCACTTGGAGGAGGGTCGGGCTGCCGGGGCAGTCCAGGCGGAGGCATCCCTCCCTGGCTACTGCCAAGGGGGGAGGCGGTGGAGGGGACTGAGGGGTGGTGGTAGGGGTGCTCGTGGGCCTATCAGGAGGTTTCCTGACGGCCTTGCGAGCGACATCTGCGTATGATACCGTTTGCGGCGCTGAGGACATAAAATTTCTCATACGGGCCACTTTTTTTTGTATCTAACGACTCTTATTGCAGGAGCTACTCGACTACAGCAAGAGAAGAAGGAGATAAAGGAAGAAATGCTTTACGCACACCAATAGAGTGATTGGTAGTGTGGGACTCAGCTTAAGCTGTTACCCACTAAAACTCCCGGAAGGTTTGATAAGGTCTTGGAATGCGGCAGAGATTGCTCTGAATTGGGCCCCCTTAACCCGCGAGCCACGTGGCCTTTCGATGCGCACGTGGCCTATATGCACAACTTACAAATCGCCCTTCCACAAACGGGTCGTTAGTGTAGCGGTTATCATCCGGGCTTTCCATTCATTCGAGTGCCCGGGACAGGGGTTCGACTCTCCTACGACTCATACTTGCATCATTTTTTTGCACCATTCCAACCCCTCCTCCTTCTCCCCTTTTCCCTCATTTTTGTTTTTTTTTTTT